AAAAAAAAAAAAAAAAAAAAAAAAAAAAAAAAAAAAAAAAACTGAAACAGAGTTGAGATATCACGATTTCGGATTATATTTGGTATTCTTTACTAAAATCATAATAAATCATTAATTACTGAATGTAAAATAAAAACGGAAACGATCTCTTGAATCAGTTGTTACGTTTTACAACTTGAAAGTTGCGATTAAGTTTATGATTGTCGAATTATTGCAACAATGAAAAACATAAATCTCAATTATTTCTCTCAATAGTAATTGCATTTGAAAACAATAAATTTGAATAAAATATCATGTCAAATGATAAAATAGTTACTAATTTAGATTTATTTATAATGAACGTCAATTTAATGTTAGATGAAACTTGATGCTCAGCGCTCTTTATCTTAAAATAAATAATTTTATTTTATTTTATTTAAAAAAAGTTTGAATTTCAAATAAAATACTATAAAAGAAAATAGCAATTTATTATTTTTTCGCAGATATTATACATAAACATAAAATGAGTTCTACAAATACATTCAAAAATAACACAAAAAACTATCTAATATACGTTACTTTTTTACTTTTACAATAAAAATTTAAAGTGCATTTCTTAATACGATTTTTTCTTTTATTAAGAAACTATCATATATTTTCAACCATTGATGTTTATAACATTTGTAAAAATATTGAGATAAAAGTTTGCAAACTATTTTAATGCTTATAATCTCTTTTTATATTTAGTTTTTAAATAACTGTGTAATATGATGTGTAATAATTGATTCGGTACAAAATAACTTTATATCATTATAATCAATAGAATTATTACAATCATAATGAAATTATTTACAACGTATGACAAAAGACTATGACTTTTTAACAAATATCAAATTTAAATTTGATATTATAACAAATTGAATAAAAATCGTTTTTTTGATATGCATCAATTTAAAAGATATTAATATAAGAAATACTGATATTTAATAAATGCAAGAAAACGGCAGTGTGCTAGTTATGCCGAATATGTGAACAAAGAAATATTACTAAATTTTTGAACATATTACATTTTATGTGCAAAAACAATAAATTATTTTTTAGAAAATAAAAATTATTTTTTAGAAAATAAAAAAATTTTTAATATTGTTAATTACTGTTAATGACTTAAAGTTACGAATTTTATAACATAAACTACAATAATTATGAAAATTATATAAGTGTAAATTAAGTAGAATTAATATTAATACAGGAATATGGAATGATGTTTCTTTTCTGGAGAACATTTTTTGAAGGTGAAAAATGTAAAATTACAAATATACACATCTATAAAGCTTGAACATTCGTAATATGCGAAAGAATATTTAAAATAATCATTCATCCAATATTGTTGTTGTGAAAGACTTAATTGTACTTAATTGTTTAATAAGCATCACAGAGCAATGTACAGATTGCGTCAGTACATCACATATATAAATGTTCTGCAATGTTTTGAACATGTACACAATTTTATTATACTATATCTTTCATTTAATGAAATGCCACATTTATTTGAATAAATTAAACTTTTTAAAAATGATCTTCATCTGATGAATAGGAATTATTAGATGTTTGTAGTCATTATAATGTAGGATGAGTGGAAGGTGATTCACTTTCTTCATCTTCCTCTAATTCATCATCTGTGTCTGAAGATAAATGTTCTCTCAGAACTAATGAACGCATTTGTTCTAATACCTGATGTAAAGAGTCTCTTTGTTCCATTCTATCATTTAAAGGTGTAGCATCACCACTTGCTGTTCCACCAGCTGGTGTTTGTGGTGTATTACTTGGAGGTACTGGAGTATTTGTACCATCTCCTGTGCCTTTGAAAATAAAGTTATATTACCCATATATACACACACACACACACGCGCGCGCATGCACGCACACACACACAATGTTAACAAACATTACAAAGTTGTTACGAATGATACAATTAAAACTTCAACAGACAACTAGTTATTTGTAATTAGTATCATTATACCCATATCATCACTCGCAGGACTAGCTGGTCTTTCTGCTCCCCTTACTTCTCTAGTGATTTCTTCATCTTGATTATTTAATCTTAAACCTGCAACTCCCTTTTTTGGCACATTATATAAATCACGTTTAATTTTTCTTCGCCTAGACGGATCATTTCTACGTAATTGAAGCATGGAACCAAAGTCAGCAATATAAAGAAATCCTGCGATTAATAATTCACAATTTCGTTTGCCTTGTTTATATGCAGTTTCTAATTCATGACTTGTACGTTGATCATATTGCCACCAACCTGTAACAGTAATGTAATTCAAAATTACACAAATTATGTTGTCCACATTGCAGAGGAGAAAGAATAATTGTGTAAATAATTAAGTGTTTCAGCTGGGGAATTCACAAAGAAAAATAACTTATATTCTATAATACAGAAGTTTTATTACAAATATACATGAAAACTAAATTGTAATCTTTCCATAACAAAATAATAAAAATTCTTATACTTTTTATGCTATGTATACAATGTTTTACATGAAAGTTTAATATGTTGCATAATATTATACATAATTTTCTAAATAATTATATAAGGTACAAATACAATCAAAAATACTTTATGCCAATTATATTTAAAAAGGTATAAAAGATGCAAGTACAAGTTATTTTATTCCTGAAATACCTTTGCACGGTGCATCTTTCCTATCACGTTTAATATTACGTTTATAATATGGTTGATGTTTCCTATACTGACAATTATTTTTAAAGTCAATTACATAAAGCATGCCGCAAATTAAAATTTCACATTGGGCGCTACCTAGGTTGTAAATAGCCTCCAAATCCTGGCTGGTCCTTGAATCATATTTCCACCAACCTATGAAGGGGTATGATATAAACTTCTCTATACACAAACTTCTCATCACATGTTTTTAACAAACAATGAAGTTATTTACTTTTTATCTTCAATGTTCTAAGGAACATTGATTTTGTTCACAATTTAAATATATTATTTTATTTTCATAATTTACTTCTTTAATTTCTGTTTTTATACATTTGTTTATAACATTTATAATACACATATATTTTATAGATACATTTATATCTAATGAACTGGTATTTAAAAAATCATCTGTAGCTAAAAAGTAAAAAAGATTTGTATAGTAAAAGATACTCTACCATTTCTACCTTCATAAAACCATTGATATTCTTCTTCAAAATGTTCCGATTCCTTCTGTGCTTCGTCTACCTCTACCAGTTGTGGTCTATTAAGGAAATCAGGAGGAATTTCTTGACGACACATAGGACATCTTTTACTTTGATTTGCAACACCTTTGACGCACAGGTAACAATATATATGATTGCAAGGTAATCTTGCAGGATATATACATGGTTGAAGACAAACTGCACATTCCAGGACTGTTGTTAAACCTAGAAAAATTCATTTGTAAATAATGTTATGATAATAAAAACAATTGTTGTTTGAGCAATATATGTAATACTTTTCAATTACAAATAAAACATGATTATTTCAAACTGAATAAAATATTTTAAATGAATTGTTATGAAATTAACTATATAGTTAACTAGTTTATACAGTAACAAGGATGATTGTGAAACTTGATACAAAAAACATACCTTCCTTCTCGTCAGTTTCTTTCTCTTTGTCGTTAAGCGTGGTACTTGTTTCTTCTTGCGAGTTAAGTTTTGCTTGAGCCATAATCCTAAATAAAGCTTAATTCTTCATTGAACAAGATCAAAAATTTTATTTATAGAAACATGCATCATGTCGTTAGTTATAGAGTTCACAGAACGTGTCGACCGTAAATCACCTTCGTTGTTTATGACA